CTCTTTTCTGGTACATCCTGCGGGGTATGGCCGCCCACCCAAACAGTGTGAGGCTTTGCAGAGTGTGAAGCCGGGTATAGAAACGCTGTATTACTTTCTTAGAATTGAATGGGCTTTTCTGGTGTATCCTGCACGGTATGGCTGGGCAGCCCATCAAGCGCGCTTGAAGCACACAGTCCGCCCCGTCCCGTGCACATTCCGAGTGTACCAAGAAACGCTGTATTACTTTCTTAGGAATCTAATGGGCCTTTTCTGGTACATCCTGCAGGGTATGGCCGGACCTGCAGCCCACCGTAGCGCACGTTCTGAGGCGTACCAAGAAACGCTGTGTTACTTCTCTAAGAATTTAATGGGCAAATCCTGGTACATCCTGGGGGGGTATGGCTGGGCCTGCAGCTTTCACGAAAGTGTACCAATAATCATCTCAATCTTTCTTCAGAGAACAATAGGCAGCTCTCCGGTACATTCGGGTGGGTGTAGCCGGGCCCGCAGCACCATGAGCATGTACCACAAAGTGGCGTCTTTGCCGGGCATGGCCGGACAGCCTGCATGCTCTTGATCTTTGGGGCGGGTTGTGAGATTCACGAGCCGCCGTGCCAATCCACGGCGCAGGATCACAAGGCACTGCGTCCACGAAGCGCGCAATGCGGACGAGCCTTCTGCCGCTGCCTCGACCCATCCCACTCTGGACCCCTCAGAGTGCGAGCGCTCCGCCGCTAGCTCGATCGGTGACGAGGCGCAGTGCGTGCAACGCCCCGCACGGGAGGGCCTCTGCGTGCCGTCATCTGCGATCCAGCCGGGGCGGCTTCTTGCCACGAGCAGCCGTCGTTCGGTACTCGGCAGATTGCAAGGCGAGTGTCCGGCAGTCCCTTGCACTGCACTGCGTTGCCGCCCCTGGTCCACTGATGGCACGAAGCATGGGACTCAACCTCTGTTACTCGTTGGCATAAATTGGGGTGCGCTGTCAGTATGTACCAAGAGGTGGTGTAGTTCTCTGTGAGAATCTAAAGGCTCCTTCCTGGTATATCCTTGGGGGTGTGGCCGGATTAGCATGTACCGGGAAGTGGCGTGTTTCTCTTTAAGAATCTAACGGCCCTTTCCTGTTACATCCTGCGGTGTATGGCTGGGCTTCCGGCAGTGTCCCAAGCCAGCTGGGCACACTCATTAGCTCCAGAATCGAAGGTAATTGTTTCGAGTCACGCAATATCGGGAGGGGTTCCAAGCGGCGCCCCAAAAGCAGTATACAAAGGAAAGCATTCTGTGGTGCGTCAGTTCTGCTTCTGATAAGGAACGTGTACCAAGAAAGAACCTATTACTTCTTTACGATCTAAATGGGCGTTTCTTGGTACACCTTGCTGGGTATGGCCGGAGCAAAGTTCATGCCCTTGATCTGCCGCACGAATCCGAGGACTTCCGCACGGATTTGGCGGTCGATCGTGACATTCACGAGTGCAGCAGCGCTGACCGACTGTGCGCCTCCCCTTTCCAGGAACAATGTGCACTGACCGCGACGCCCACAACATGCGCCACGAGGTCGACAGCCTCCCCACAACCGCCACAGCCAGCCCCCGTGCGACCAGTGACAACTCCGAGTCGGAGTGCTGTCTTCGCGCAGGCCGCCATCAGAGTGCCGCCAGCATGGTCACCGACAAGGCGCAGCTCTGGCAGCGCTGAACGGGAGGGACAGTGCGTGCTGTCGAGCCGGAGCGCCAGGGTTGGAGCTCAGGCGTCGAGACAGCCCACTGCCACAAGCAGCCATCATCCGTTGTCGGTGAGGAGCGGACTGCAAGGTGAGCCTTCTCCACGATCCCCGGCCGTCTGGTTGCGGCAAAGTCCTCTTCTCGATCAGTCGAGAGTTCTTGGCTCAACCTAGGGGAATATCATGGGAAGTGGGGTCGTTCTTCTCAACAACATGGAGCTCGTGAAGAACCTTACGGGCGTTTCTCCTGTACTTACTACAACTTTCCGGGTCTGGCCGGGCTGCCCATCAAGCACACAGTCTGGCCGTACCAAGAAAGGCTGTATTGTTCTTTAAGAATCTACTGGGCGTTTCCTGGTACATCCTGGGGGGTATGGCCGGGTTCAACCTGCGGGGTATGGCCGGGTGCATTTCGGGGGGCATGGCCGGGCTGGCCCATCAAGCGCAGGGTACGACCATCCGGCGCACAATGAGAGTGTACCAAGAAATGCTGTATTACTTTCTAAAGAATCTAATGGGCCTTTCTGGTACATCCTGCAGGGCATGGCCGGGCCCTTCGAAACGGTGTCCGCCTCTGCAGCGCCGCGAGCGTTTACTTTGTAAGGATCGCAGTGTCTACTTTGTAAGATTCCGTTTACATTGTAAGATTCCGGGTGTCTGCAGGACCGCTGGTATCGTGGCAGGACTCTCGACGCTCACCTTCTACCATTCTGCTCGCGCAGG